CATTTTTGAAATTGATTTCAGAATATCTCAAGAAATATATGGAATTTCGGAATGAGCTTTGGTAGAATTGAAGAATGTTTATCTATGAATAGATTTAAATAGAAAGTAGAATTTTAGAGCATTCGAATAAAAAATATTTTATTAGCGAAATTAGGTACCCAGTGTAAGAGTTCAGTACCTTTATTTTTTTTTTACACACACAATTTTTTTTAAGCGATTCAAAGGCCTGTGATTCTAAGTATATAAAGCGGTGTATTCGATGGTGGTGAGGGAGGTATTTGTTAAGAAAAAAAATCAACTAATTTTTTCATTTTCAAAACTCTATACTTCACGTCTGTATAATAATGCACTAGTAATAATTTGTTTCTTTTATTGTTGAAAGATTTTTTTGGATTCTATTTATTTTTCATCACAAAGGGGTGGACATGTTATCAATCGTGTTATTTATTGTATCTGATCCATGAGGAAATATATTCTAAAGAATGTTGGTTGTCCTATAAATATAGTAGATCGAGAAATAAACAGTTTCTCTTGCAAAAGCTATCACGCACAGTTTTCAACCTGCGAGTGCAAATTTATTAACATGCAAAATTTAATATCTTTGATTATATAGCGAGCGCAGCGAGGCGGCGCGAAGCACCGTTCGAGTAGCGAGCTCAATAGATTAACGTGTACGAACAGAGGAAATTTGAAATCTTCACTTTGTTCCAAGAAAATTTTACGAGGCCACGTGAAATAATTCCAAACTCTCAATAATCCTTTGCGGTGCACAGCAAATTAATGGCTTAAAGAAAGCAAACCTTACTTGAAAATAACTAGAAACAAGGATTTTATGAAATCTCCATACAAACAAAACTATCTTTTCCGTTCTTAGTCAACAGGGCTTTTTATTTGTCGTCATACTTTCGTCACTCAAACAGCTCAGGTATTTCCGATTTCTTCGGAAGCTTCCGAGATGTTCGGAATCTCGATCTCTATGCATGGTAGGTGATTCTTTTCAGAGCGAGCGCAGCGAGCGTCGCGAAGCAACGCTCGTCAATGCGAGCTCTAACGACAACGCCTGGTCGAAGAGAAAATTCGGACTACTGCACATTCATTTGATAGAATTTTTTTCCGCAGTAATATGGACCCACAATACATCGCTTCGTACATGTACACAGAAGTTAAAGCAACGTTCTCGCATGAATACTATAGTAAAAACAAAAGTTAAACGAATAATAAACTTGCCTTGATTTAATGAATTTATTGCAGAAAAATAGTCAATAAAACGGTTCTTCATTAAAATCAGCCCTGTTCAGGCTTCGGTTTGGTAAAGCAACATGCATACGACGTCATGTGATGTCAGAGTCTTAGACGCACCGAATGTCACGTGCGGTTTGACGAGCCCAATCTAAATGAAAACTGAATAAGTATCTGCGTTCGCCCTAACGGTCGCACCGTCAACATATTAGTTGTGCTTCTTTTTTTAATGAACTGAGGATAGGCGGTTAAAATGTTAGCTGTTTTTAGTATTTATTTGGAATAATTTAAACAGTTTTTAGGGGCACCCCTTCAACAGAATTCACGACATTTATGAAATTCCGACGTCAGATGAAAAATCGGGGTTCCCTAGTACATATGTATTAGAGATGTTTCTGAATATGAATCGAAAATGAAAATGAAACGAATTTGAGTCGGAGGAATCTCGATCCCAATTTGAAAACTGAGAAAAAATATATGAAACTTTCCGAATCATACAATGAAAAATGGTAGATTAAGATACATGTAGTTAATATTTTTCAGTGATTTTAACTGTTTTTTCGCCCCTATGATGACAGAGGACTTTACGAATTTTAAATTTGAAAAGTGTTTGAGTTTATCCCCCTTTTTGACATCAAAAAATTAGTAGATGATGCTCATATTTTTGTCATTTGGATAAGACGAACATATCTAATTAAATAGACTGAAAAAGAAATCAGGTATCCATTCAATTCAGGGGAAAATTAAACCAGCTCGTAAAGTATAGTATTATGATATATTATTATTCAGCCCCCACGTTAACGTTCCTCGCGATATTCCAGTTCTGTGCTCCTTTTTAAAATCTGTTTAAATGTTTACTAGTATAAATGTGTCATTTTATAATTTTATGAGTAATTTAAAATTATATCGGATGCATAACTTTTCAGCAACCCCATGACCACCGAAACTCAATTTTTTCCGATTTTTTTTTTCGATTTTCATTGTACCTGTATCTACAAGTGTCTAGTACAAACGTTTTCTTTCATTTCTCGGAACTTCCCTTTACTTATTGGTGAAGAATGTTGCTTGTTAAAATGGGAAGTACAGTAAAACTCGGTTATAACGAAGTCGTTGGGACATATGAAATTACTTCGCAATATCCGTAATTCGTTATATCCATATAAGAAATTCGTGCAATTTATATATATAGATGGGGATTCAAATTAACTTCGCTATAACCGTGAATTCGCAATTATCCGTGTTCGTACCAAACGAGTAAAATTAACTAGCCTCCCACATCTCAATGATTTTAACCTGTCTCCTACTGTTTTCATTTTCTCACATTATTCAAAACGATCCTCTCGAAAATCAAATCTTCTGCCTGGTTTAACAATACATGTAAATTTAATACAAAATTGATATTTTTTCGAATATATTGAATAGACAGTTATTACTACAAGTAGTAAGTAATATACAATACGGAAATGGGACGTAACTGCATAAATCAAAGGAAAAAAATAAACGGTCCCGAAAAAAGTTTTCAGACTTAATGAGGGACATGACTATAATTTTGATCAGATTATATTATGCAGTGCATGTTTGTGATCAGGCAAAGTAGCAACAGGGGGGGGGGGGGGGGCACTTTTTTTGCAAGCAATACTTTTACTATTGAAAATGTTCATTGAAAGGCTGGTTGCCCCCCCCCCCACACACACACACTTTATACGAAAGTAAAGTAACATGAAGGAAATATATATTGTAAGCTTAAAAATGGATATTGGAAGGAATTGGTAGTGAAAAAAGTTTGTTCTTACCCGTAAGCGAAAATGAACTTGCCATTTTTTCGGATGAGAAATACGGAGTGTTTTTCACGGCTGGAAAAAATTGGGATTTTTATCACCCAAAAATTCTCTGTCAGAGTAAAAGTCTGCAAAACGCGTAGAACGTAAGGGGGGCACTTTTTTTCTGACTAAAGTTTTTCTCTTTAGTAAATTTTCATTTAGAAACTGGTTGTAACCACACCCAACCCCACTTTTTTTTATTTTGCTGTAAGGTCGAGAATTTGGACAGGTAAGAATATTTATTTCACGTTTGGAAATTTATTGGTATGTCTCCCTATACCCGCCTTAAACAGAATTCCTGGTAAAATATTGTCATTTTAAACATACATTTGAATTCCCCAGCTCCAAAGAAAAATAAATCAAACTGGCTTAATTCATACACTCTTATTTTTTTCACCATTGTTTCATTAAATATAAAAACTAAATAAAAACTTGGACTTTATGTCATCGACTTCTTACTTCAAAGTTAATTGGGGGAGGCACAAACACTTTGAACTTATACAGTTTATAATACTAGTATATCGCAGGTACAGGCACCTGCATCTTCGCAAAGCAAAATGTACGATCCTCTCCCATTCAGAAGATAACTATTTATAAGTGAACTCCGAACCGTGGCTTGAGACAATGAGGCACCCGACGTTACTCATTTGTTTTATATTTTAAAAATGTAACCCATACCTTCTTATTACGCAGGGGGAAAATAAATAATGTATTCACATATATAATATGTTAATTTTCATACCGGATCGGGATCGAGATCCCTCCGATTCAGATTCGTTTCATATTCATTTCAGATTCGGATTCGTTTCATATTCAGGAACATCTCTATTTAGGACCTTTTAAATAAGAGATCTAGTAAGGTCCTCATTATTAACTATATATATGTCACCTGTAATAACGCGTCTAGCAGGACTATAGTTATAGGGCGAAGAAGAACATGAACACGATGGAGGATTATCTTTCAGATACTCAATATCCAGGCCATGTAATTTTTTTGTAATTGAAAAGTTTGGAAGCAATGATCGATATATTTTTTGTAGGAAATACAAGGTGCAGTCTTTAACCTGAAATATGGTGGAATACAAGACTGGATCCTTTTGTGATTAAGAATATTATTTATATTAACCATGCATGTCAATTCCTTTATTGCATATTGCAGTTAAAGGAAAAGACCGATTGTTTTAGCTGCATTTTCTTCAGTAAACGTGCGGGTTTAAAAAAGTCTTTGGTTTGCAATATATATAGTCACAGATCCGAGTCTATGTTCTGGAGTCGAGGAATCAAAAATTAGACTTTCCTCGGCCTTTTCAACAATAATCTTGTTTCAACTAAAAAGAATACAATATACATGAACATGTGTATATGACTTTGACTACTTTAATAAGTTATCATTTAAAAATTGTCCACAAAATAAAGAGTTTCCTTTTCTTCTGTTTTGAGTAACCAGTAAAGTTTTTATTCATTATCTAAAGCTGAGAAGTATGGAAATTGACTTTTAATTACTGTAAACGTATTACATTTGGCTGTGTATTCTTTTTAGCGCTTTTGGCGGAAAGCAAGTCCCGCTAATTCAAGTACAAAGCTAAATGTCTTGTACATATACAAATAAAGAAGACTTTTATGAGATACGCCAAATCAAATTTCCGAACTAGTTCATAATTCAATTTCCGCCAATTATCGTACACGATAAATATGATACATTTACAGTAACTGAAATATTTCTTTCGTTTGGTGATATATTTTTAGCTCAGGAACAAGGCCGCAGATTATCACAATTCCGCTCCGCTCTTATTTTGTCATATGTGATGGACTATTGATATGTATTTTTACATAGAACAATATAAATTTATATATAGAACGACCCCTGCTCCATATTTACATTTCTTTTTATCTTTAAAAGCTGTCTATTAATTAATGATTTTGCAATTTTTTTTACCTCAGTGGTAAACCTGGCGCTTGGTAAGACCGTCTCTGGTAGCAGCCTCTTTCCTTTCCCTCCATATTCAAATGTGAGTCATGCCGTGGATGGTAGGACAGAGTTTACTGACATAAGTCTACTGTTTCACACAGACTTCGAACTTTATCCCTGGTTGACGGTAGATCTAGGAACACTCAGTATTGTAAAGAATGTTATTCTTTACACTAGAAGCGATGACCATGGTAAGTATGAAGATAACTTGCTACTTTAATCTGATGTATGTGGTTTTATTTCTCGGAAAAAAAATATTTCAATTTTTGTTCGTTTAGGTCGCTGGCTGCACAGTGTTGAGATAAGAGCTGGAAACTCTTCCATTTGGTCCGAGATGAATATTTGTGGCACATTCCTTGGACCCAGTCAAACAGGAGAAATCCACACCATAGAGTGTGAAACCAGACCCCTCCTGTATGGGTCATATGTCACTGTGAAAATAGTCCGTCCTAACTACATTACAGACGACCCTATGGCATTCGGCGGAAGAAACGCCTTGTGTTTAAGAGAAATTGTCGTCAATGGCCTTCATGCATAAATCAGATTTATTTACATTTTTTTCACATAAAGCAAATACGTATAAATGTATAAAAATTATTTTAAAAAATGATTAGGTTTGCCTTTTTAATTTTGCCCTTCCAATCTACAATAATGTGAATTTTACTTTACTGCTAAATATAAGCTCAATATGTGAATTACTGCAATTTGTTGAAAATATTTTTAACAGAAAATGATCAAGCCGCGTTAGGCGTCCTCGGTGAAGATTGGGAATACTTTAGCATTAAAGGTAAGCTGAAAACACCTGGTAACATCAATTGATTCATTAAAGAATTATTCATTATTCATTTTATATATTGTTCTGACCTTTTGAACAGTGTTTTAATAAATAATCCACCTTTTATGTCAATTCATTATCAGCTTACAGTAATGTTAGATCAAACTTTTAACCAGAAAGACAAGATTAAAATTTAAAATACCAGATTTTTAAAGAAAAAAAGATAGAAGACAATTTATGCCTCCTATGAGAAATATCAACCTGATAGTGCATTGAAAAATAACCAAACACAGATATGCAGTTTTGTCGATTATGTCATTTAATTGAATGTCATACAGTAAAGGCGCATATCCCACAGACTGCGCAGGTGTAAAAGGTGGAAGGTGTAAAATATAACAGATTTCTCATAGCCGCATGAATTGAATTATCTGTGATAATATTGTTTTAGAATTAAAATGCTATATAAAGAATCTTTTATTAACTCTAATTTACAAACAATAGAAACTATTTGGATGAAGATAGTGAGCCCTTGAAGACTTATGAGTTTATAATTTCAAACTTTTTGTTAAAGGAGGTTGGTTTTTTTCGAATAAACTTTTTGAGAATTACAGTCATTATATCTTGTGCATGAAGACCCCCCCCCCCCCCCCCCAAAAAAAAAAAGAAAAAAAATAGCGTTCGATTTTTAGAAAATGTTAGCAATATATATAATTTCAGCGAGTTCACCATCCTCCCTAAAATGCCAAATTCGAACCCTCGCTAAAATTTCTGAATAAATAGAGTTTCGAAATTTTTAGAGTGTTTGTGTTCTTTAAATAATGTCAAACTACTAATAAATAGACAAGAAATTTTATGTTATTTAAAACCATTAATTAGAACAAAAAGATCCATACGTTTTTTCTTCTCTGATATCATTGTTTAGAAATCAGTCTACATTTACTTTCATATAAATGGAGAAGTGCTTCACAAAGCAAATCTACTTGCAGATCAATATTTTATTCTGATTGCTATGATTTTAATGCATCCCATATTATTTCTCCTTCAATATTTAATGTACCATGAAGTATCATGCTTCACAAACCATTTCAAATTATACCTAGATGTTTAGTTTCAACACGAATAAGTTTATTAACGAAAAATATTTTCTATTTGAATATCCATACTTAGGCCAACTTTTCTTTAAAAATGGTAAGTTAAACTCCAGAACTGTAAAGTCTTGAAGGAAAGGGAAATAATAAAATAGATTGTTTAATTGGATACCAACTTAACTCTGTCATGTATATTCATTCTCACTGCTGCTTTTATACTTAAGAATAGGACGAACAAGATAACTGGACCTTAAATGTTAGTTTGATCCTTGTCTGCCAGTTGGGGTGTGACGTAAATATAGGACATGATTTGTAGTTGGATATGATTTTTATCCAACGAGTTGTGTGATTTTTAAGCAAAAAAGATGAAAACACACAACTCGTTGGATAAAAATCACGTTCAACTACAAATTATGAGAGATTCTTTCTATCCTATGTTTATTACTTCACGACCGATGTTTAACACTGTTGTTATATAGGACTCCATTTCATTTTACTTCATCACGCTAATGCAAAAAACCCTGTGACGTCATAACTGCACTTAACAGTTGGATACGAAAATGATATCACATGAGCTATATCCACGAGATAAAGAATTAAACATGGGATAAAGTAAGGTTGATTTTGAGATGTTGTTAAAACTTTTTTGAATTTTATATGATGTTTTAAATACAATTAATTTTTATTTTCTCCTTCAGTAAGTCTATAATTTCAATATATCTTCATTGTTTTAAAATATATATGTTGAATGAATGTGTAAATCTTGTTCTAAAGTATTACTCGAAATCCAAATTAAATATTCTAAGCATAAAAAAGGGTGTAAAAGGTAGTGGTTGGGGGGGAATTTGTTTCGAAAAAAAAATCACCTAATTTTTAGCAGGGCTTATTGCTCAAAGAACAATTGCTGGCTTATGTCAGCCTGTTCAAGGCAGGAAGTCCATCCCAAAGTCGCCATATTAAAGTTATATGTAAAAATATAGCACTTACTTTCAACTGCTTTTGAGATAATATAAACGCTAAATAAAGCAACAAAAATAAAACAAAGTTTTATCTATGTAAACATAAGTAAAACCATTCAATTAGCTTGTAAATATGTCACAGTAGCATTTACATAAAAAATAAGGTATCATTTAAAAGATCTATCGGAATAGAAATACGGGTTGGTCACGAGATTAAATTCCATAAAGAGGGTTTAAAAAAATTTGATCCCGTACCAACCCGTATTTATAGCCTAATAGATGTTTTAAAATGATACCTTATTACTTATATTTACATTAGTGACTTATTCACACTTTATCTTTGCTCTGCTCCTATTTTGTATTATTTTATAGACTTTGAGATTGAATACATATGTATTATTATAACAGTAACTTGATCCGAAGGGTCGTATCACGTCGAGTTGACAGGCACGGATTTGCGTCGAGTTTGATCTGATGATCCGCGCCTGTCAACAGACGTGATACGGCTCTTCGGATCAAGTTACTGTTATAATGATAAATTTATTATATACCCCCTTATAACTAGCTAAATATAGCAGAATAAAACTTTAGAGATCAATTGTATAATATTTATCCATAAAACAATGCATAATAATGACTTTTTAACGCGCAAGAAAAATAACGTCATGTTTTTGCGTACTACGTCATCAGTTTCAGAGAGTGGTGATATGGATTCAGAAAACCACAGTGTGGTGAACCGGAAAATCGGATCAAACTTTGTAAAATTAACAGTAACAAAAACAAGGAAATTGATGGATATACAGCTCAACAAACTTTTTAAGCTCACATGGTTTTTCACACAAATTAAGGTCACATTGTTATAATGTAATATTGTGTGTTGAGACATCAAAATACATTTTAAAAGTATTTGTTTACATTATTTGAGTTTTATTTCATTTACTAAAACATAATTTATACAAATCAATTGCTAGAACTTTAATATATTCTTGGCTGAAAAATAACAATTATTTCCATTTGATTTTTTGTCGTTTCTTGCCAATTGCAGCTGTCTTTTTATCCGATCTTTTGAAAGCAGTAGCTCTTTGCAGAAACGTACACACGGGCAGTACAGCTACTGTAACTTGTATTTTCTGTACATTCTGACTCTTAAGCGCAGGGTGATAATAGTATTTTTCATCTGTTTGACTGCTTTCTATGTTAAGAAGCTGGCATTTTTCAGAGTCACCTTCTAAAAATCTAGAATCATGAAAGATTTATCCCACAACAAAATTTTAACGTTTCAAACCGTAAATGCAGAAGAATTTTCCTTTTCATAGAAAAAAATTTACTATTTAAAATAAATTAACAATACTTCATTATCCTACCCTGTGGTATGGTTTCTCTCTGTAATGTTATCCCTTTTCGGTGCTACATTTCGATAAAACCCAGATGAGTATGGTAAATGAGCAAAGACTTTTTAAAAATACTTACCTTTGAGAAGAAAATTTAAAATTTTCAACTACATTCTATCAAAGAAAACACATTTTATATTATTTGTAAAAAAAACCTATGGTAGAGGCCTATAGTAGAACATCGTACCATTTATTGATAAATTTCCCTCAAAAACATCCACTTTGGAAACTTAAGATAATACTATAAAAGGACATTCATACTTCACATTATATATGTAATGTAACGTAGGGTTATGTCATCGTTCTGGGGTTCTAAAATTGTAATTTTTATTACAAATATGTGACCTTAATTTGTGCGAAAAACCATGTGAGCTTAAAAAGTTTGTTGAGCTGTATAATAATGTTCGTTATCTCCATATCCTTCATTTGCCTGATTGTGACTTTTAACGTGTGAAATGCATTATTTTTCAAACTCAACAACATGCATGTAATCCACTGAACGTCACTTAGATATTACGTCGAATAAAGTTAAACACAGATGAAAGATCTCCATACATTTATTTCAAAGATCATGAAAAGAGGGAGTTGTCATGGTGTCTTCCTAGTACATTCGAGGTCGTTTTGTATCATAAACAGAAGTTTGATTTCATAAATTCGAGATTTAGATCTCGATGCAAAGGATGAATTAGTACTAACAAAAGAATTGACCTGTAGGAGAGAACAATTTTTCATAAAAGGTGTCATTTAAAAGTCAGTGTTCTCATTTTTTCTATAATGTATTGGTCTAAATGTTTTAAATTTTCATTTTGAACCTAAATTGATTATCTGCAATTTAGAAATTAACATCCAAAAGTGGTCAAATCAGCATTTTGTCCATAAAACCATATTTTGCGTGAAATTTGGCGTAGAAATCCTTCAGGGCAGGCCCGTCCCTAAATTAAATTTTGATAAATTTTGGTCTAAGGAATCATTGAAACAATTTTTAGGGCACGGGGCGCCCCCTAGGGTCGAAATTCGAAAAAGAAACCAAAGTATGCGAACATCTATTTCCTTAATAATTATAAATATTTATGACCAATCACATTCTAGTCAGTATTTTTGATTGATTCTGGAAAATGAAAAATACAAATTTACAAAATACAGAGGTGATCATCTGAAATAAATTATTTAGTTATTGCATTTTTTTTTCTGTGTAAAAAGCCTTTTAAAAACCTTGTCAACATAAAAGAAACGTACAATGTCCTTACATTGCACACGCACACACGCATTAAAATCACCGAATCAAATATTTATACAATTCGGTCGATGTTACTAATCCCTAGGAA